AAAAAAAAAAGTTCGATTAACCACGATTAATTCCGATTAATCACGATCAATTCCGATTAATCAAACTGATTTTTCCCGATATAACAATTAATCGATTCTCTTGTATATATCGCGATAAAATCTGATTTTATCGCCGATTTCTTAAGCAAATACGATTAATCACGATTTTACGCCTGTTTTTTCCGATAATCGGCAAAATTGCTCCGATTTTCACGACATGGGAATCTAGAGTAGAACGCGACTGAATCGATTGAGTTGAGCATTTTATTGAGGAGATTGTTTTGGAATAGTGTCGTAAGTGAAAATTCTTCTGAAGAAGGGGGCAAGCCATCAGAACAAGTTTCTGCAGAGAGAGCAGAAATCTGTTTCGCCATTGAAATAATTTTTTTGCTCGCGAGCAATCCCACGAATTCTTCGAGTAGTAGATACGCCTTTATTTTCACAGAAGATCTCTTCTATTTAGTGTGGCTGACTATAGACTGTGACTTCGATTTTATCAATGAGCAAACTTCTATAAGCTGCTAATAATAAAACTACAAATATGAAAAACAAAATTTATCCTTAAAATTATTCTATGTTGTCATTACATAGTGCGTCGATGATTGAAAATAACAATCCTTTTTTTATTTTGAGCAATGACACGAGCCTATTGGATGCTTATATCGCAAAAGCAATCCTATATTGCTTTTATTGCGCTTTTTCTCTATAAAGATTTCTGTTTTGAAGAAAAACTAAGTAATTAAGTAAGCGATAGAGCAATATCGAATTTCTATTTATCAAAAGATAATGCCATACGCTTCTTCATTTCCAGTGAGTGCAAAAAATATTAGCTATGCATTAGATATGAAGATGAGTACCACCAGTATTTTGTTTCATTTAAATGCAAGTGATGATTTCAATAGTATTTCGTTGTTTCAGATTTGTTCTATTCAGATAATTCTAAAGTATATTATTTTCCTATTCATTTCATCTTGAACAATCTGTTTTTTAAGCATCAAAGGGTTGATTCTTGTTTTGTTTTGCATGTCTTGCTATTAATTTAATATATTGCTAGTTCGAGTGAAATCTCAACTTTGTCATGGGATATCTCAATATGATCGATGTTCACCAAATAGTGCGTGTGCTTGTTTTCATTTAGCAGGTGCTATTGACATTGGCATTTGTGGTGATGAATTTGTGGATTGCTCTGAACTAGTTCCATGCGAACATTCAACTAACATGTGTCATGAACGTGACCATAGATGTGTCCATCATCCTCGATGTCATAATCTTCCTGTTTGTTATCCGGTGCCGAGTTTCAATCGACAATTCTGCCCACCGATACCAAGTAAGAAAATGAGCATTGATCTACAGCTTCAAGTTCAATTTGAATCTTTCTTAAAGTTATTTCTTCGTCGTTCATACACCCCCAGGCACGCTACTTATGCTGGTGTAAGAATAGTGAGAAAGAGCCGAAGAGTCTTTGAAAAATGTTGATAAAACGTGATGGAGAAAAAGTTTCATCTCTTCTCATGGACCAAATCCGTTAATTTGGGATGAAGAGTCTGTAGTTATATGTAGCAATACATGTAAGATATAGAGAATCTTTGAATGTGCATCTAAGACCGAAAAAAAAATAAAAATTTGATCATTTGATTTGATTCAATTCTGTAGAACGTGCAATATTTCGGGATCTTCACAAGCCATATGTATTTCTTTTTGCTACGCTTCTTTTGATTCATGATTCTCGTTGTATAATCAATTGAATATTGTGAATATTAAGTTTAATTGGTAGTTATTTTTTCTTTAATTACTGCGATCGATAGATAGTGGGTAAGAAAGCACATCAATCTTTCTATTTATCTTATTTCTAGAGGCTGAATATGTGATATTGAAGATTGATCATTTAGTTGTGACGCAGTAATCGCTAGAATTCAAGATAGCTTTAGCAATTGCATTGAATGAATTTGCCACTAATGATTAGTAATGCAACTGTGAATGTAAATTGTTTTTCATGGCTTATAGTATTACTTACTCACCCGTCTCAGTAAGTGAGAAATTTTTTAGATTTATTTAGGAAGAGAAGACTGTAAAAATTCAGACAGCCTAGCGTTGAGAGGGTCGACACAGTTCATATCAATTTGTCTCTACAATATTATTCTGTTTTTTCGACTACCTTTTTAAGTTCATTTTACTCATACTTCTAATTTGACGATAGAATATTCTAATGACTTGAGATGAACATACTGGCATATGGACTGTTTACATTAGAGGTGGAAATCATGACCTTCGCACTTCAATTAACAATCTCGTACTGCAATAACAGTCAGTACATTTAAATCGTTGCTCGTATTAGAAATAGAATAGAAGTGACGAATTTCAGCAGAATAAGTCTTCATTATGGTCTCACAAACACTTGCATAAGCTGTTTATCAGTTAGATTCACCTAATTTTAATTCCTTTTGACGAATCTTCCAAGAACATCTATCTAAATCAGATAAATAATCTATGATGCTCAAGACAAAACAAATTTTTGGCTGTCGCATAATTCTTTGGTCTGTTTTCAAGATTTCTTAAAATCTAAAGAGCAAATGTGGTAGGTCTAATTAAAATCCTCAATTCGATGTGATTTAGTCAAATCATATTAAATCGAATCATCGAAAATTTCACTTAGTTTCGGTCTCTGATGAGCACGTAGATTTTCCATTAAATATCAGTTTTTTTTAAAACTCGATTACCAGACCATTTAAGATCGTCTCTCTACTTTGAAACACTGCTTAGACTTCATCCAAAGCACAAATATGTCAAGTTCTATATCACATTTCATGTAGAACCTGAAACTATCTGCTTTGTCTACATAAATGTTCTATGATCGTGCATAGTAACGAACACTTCAACCACAACTACAACGGCAACTGAAACCACTACTCAGCAAATAGATAAGCATTATCTTACTGTTTCTTGATTTTGGCTACTACTAATTCTTAACCAAATATATATAGCTTCTTTGTATCCAATATTACTCTGCAGTTAGCTAAAGGTAACATTGATAAGATCAAGGATCTTGTATTCTGAGGAATTCAATCTTTATCCTAGGACAAAATCATCAAGTCATAATAAAACCCATGTTATTTATTTTCTGTCACTATCGAAGTTTGCTTCGTTTTGTTCATATCTATTAAACGAAATCAAGTCTTCTTCTTTGTTTAATACTACTACTTATAATTCATTTTAACAAACAAATGTTTATTTGAATTGAAAAGAAACGTTTGACTTAAGATACTATAAAAATACACTGTATTATACAGGTTTTCTTTTTTCTTTCCCAATCCGAGTTTAGATAATCTTATAGTAAAGAGTCATCAGAATACTACCAGACTTTGTTTATTTTGAGCATTTCATTCATAGCTTTAGCTGCCAAGATCACTGAGAACTTCTTTTTCTGTTTTTGAGAAATAGGCTTAAAGATAATTTTGAATATTATATACGCTTTATGTATGCCATTTACTTAATAAAGATAAATCAACTAAGACTACTGAATGTATACAGAAACCATGGAATTTGTGCCCTCCAAAGTTTCCATAGTAGTCGCTCGCTAAAAATGAGTAAGCTAGTGAAATGAGATTCAATATAGAGGTCACTTCAACGCAAAGATTGTGTGTCGACTATTTACTTGACTGACGTCATGATTTTCGTACAATAAAAAATATCACACTACCAATCATCTTTCCTTTGTAATCCATTCGCTGCTCAAAGACAAATATGCTAAGTACGAAATTCATTGTTTACCATTCCTAATATCTTCGTCTCTACTTTCTAGACTTGTACTGACATAGTTTAAAGCAGATCTTGTCAAGAACATGAGAGAAACTTTCAAGAATCCTTTGTCATTTCGTCCAAGCAAGACTCTGCTTTCCAAATTATACACAGAATCTTTCCTAAGCTTTTTCGAAAACTCAAAAGTACTAATTATTATGAGAAATTCTGAAAGAAACCTTCGACTTTTCAATTAAATTGCAAACCGGAGCAATATCTGCATAGCGAGCATTCCAAAAACGCCCCTCTGTAATAGGATTCTCAAGGAAGATCCAGAAAACTTTAGCTCGATGGAAAATAATTTGAGTCAATGAGAGTTTTAACTCTAGGCCTGCAAACATTCTACTTTGATCAGTTTGTCGTCTTTCCCAAGAATCTAAATTCATGTCTCTGGAACTCTCTGTCAGATGAAAAGTTCTTTCAGCATTCGTACTCTATCCTTAAAGTTTCTCGCATGAATGACGACAAAGATTGATATTTGTTTACTGTTGTTTCTATAAACCTTATTAGTAAGATTCTCCGACAATAATGCAATAAATCTTACCAATCAGAGCTATTATCAGGATTGTCGCGAGATCTGTACGGAAGCTTCCCAGAATATCTCAGTTTCTACTTCTCCAGCAGTTCGTTTATTTTTCTTGCTAAGATTCTCTTATCGACTTCATCAAAAGCTTTCTAGATGATCTCGACAGAAATCCAGTTATCTGTTTTACTAGAATATCTTCTGCTCCAATTCGGATAAGATTCTTCTTTTTTAATTCCCTGGTCAAAATCAAATTATGTGCTATACTCTAACAATATCCGTATGTTTTTCTATTGAGTGCTCAGATAGTTAGTTCAAGATCTAGGAAGGATTTTGAGAAAGACTCAATCAAATATACATTGATTTAGGAAGAAAGAAAATCCTTCATACTAGATATTTCATTGGTTCTTCTGCCACATTGAGGTTTTCTGCACTCATGGGCATGAATTCATATCTATACAGGGAAGAACATGTGTGATTTGTGGCACTTATCTCCTGACAAGAAAGAGTGGATCTCTTGGACAACTACGATGACAATTTCTTTTCTTTTTCATTAATTGTAGTGATGTCCAATATTCCAGTCAATGCTCGATGGACACAGAATGGAGTGACCGTTGCTGGAGGCCATGGACCAGGCAAGTCTACCAATCAACTCTGCCACCCTTGGAGTCTCTACATTGACGATGGTCAAACGATGGTCATCGCTGACACATACAATCATCGTATCGTCCAATGGAAGATGGGTGATCCAAATGGACAAATTGTAGCTGGTGGTCATGGCCAAGGAAATCGATTGGATCAATTCTTTTGGCCAAGTGATGTGTTGATTGACAAAGAGACGGATAGCTTCATTATTTGTGATCGGGGAAATCGACGAGTCATACGATGGCCTCGTCGTAATGACACAGCTCAAGGAGAAATCCTTATACACAACATTAGTTGTTCTGGAATGGCTCTGAATGATCAGATATATCTCTACATCTCTGACACTGACCAACATGAAGTGAGACAATATCAAATAGGAAACCAGAATGGAACTATCGTCGCTGGTGGTAATCGCCCAGGCGCTGGCCTCAATCAACTCAAAACTCCTACCTATGTCTTTGTCGATCGACAACAGGCTGTCTACATTTCGGATAACAATAATCATCGTGTAATAAAATGGGATAAAGGTGCACAAGCAGGAGTAGTCGTCGCTGGAGGTCAAGGCAAAGAAAATGCTCTAGCACAATTGTTGTTTCCTCAAGGATTGTTCGTCGATACATTCGGTACCCTCTATATAGTAGACACGCAAAATCATCGAGTGATACGTTGGCCTAAAGGAGCGAAAGAGGGCACTGTTATTGCAGGTGGAAACGGTTTAGGAGCAGGAGCAAACCAGTTGAATCAACCCGTGGATTTGTCCTTCGATCGATATGGCAATCTCTATGTCGTTGATTTTGAAAATCATCGTGTACAACGTTTTTCTATCAAAAATACTCAAAACAATGGCTAATTTGTCTTGTCTTTTCTATAAAATAAAACATATCGAGTTTAAAATAAGTGATGACTATTCTGTTTCCGTGAGCGACCAACAACTATCTCGACGAATGTGTCAAAAAGCCTGATGGCGGTTCGGTCGCGTGTCACAGACATCAAGATAGTTTCGAGTCGAGTTTTTAGAACCTATCTGAAAGGCTTTCAATTAAATAGAGACCTCAAAGGGACTAACTCAATCCATCTCTCTTCAACAAGGCGTTTAAAATTCACTCAGTCTCTATATAATCTCATCATGCACCCAACTAGATGAAGCAGAAACAAATATTTTCCCGAAAACAAAATTTTTTATCTAACTTTTGGAATGACTCTGAAGGCTTAAATGAACCAAATATATTCAGTAAAGGACGATGGTTTAATACAGTGAAAACATCATCTGATGTATGTCGAAAAGGTGTGGCTATTATTGATCTGATATCATTTAAACAATATGAACTTCATTCAGCTAATCAAAACGTTACAAATTTTCTCCAAATGTTTTGTGAAAATAATATTAATTAACCAAATAGTATTGTCGATCATTCAAGAATGTAAAATGAACAAGATGATGATGAAATTAATTGTTCTGTAATATGTCATGGAGAACATCAATGAGATAGAGATATTATTATTATTTTAAGAACTTTTTATGTTTTGCTATTATTTTTCTTTTATTTATTCAAACATCACAACCTACTCGTAATCTGAAATTACTTAAATCTCATATGCTAGAAAATAGTCTTGTACTTTTATCAGATGTAACATCACTTTATGCAGTATCATATATTATTGGGCTGAAAGCGAAGTATTTATTAGTTGACTTGAGTGATAAAGACTTTAATTATTTCACAAGAATGGCTTGTTAAGTAAGTTATACGTAAAAACAAAATGAATAGATTTGATAGAGACAACGATAACTAAAACTAAAGAATGTTAACTAGATGTTTTAATTAAAAATATTACTTATAGTAAATGAAAATTGAGAAAGTTCTTCATTGAAGTTTATAGATTATTAAAAAAAACTCAGTGAAATAAGGCATTCTTATTGAAATAAAGAACGTCGAACGATTCGTCTATCTAATAGATGTGTGACGAATTCATACCGATTAAATGTGCTAATATCAATCACCTAAATTTTTTCATTTGATCAACTTACGTACCTTAACACGGAGCTCTCAAAATCCAATTGAATGTGATAAAAGAAGTATTCAATGACCGAGTTCGCATAAAAAGAGTTGATCATCAGTTGTTTGATTCAGTTTTTCCGAATCATTGAGCAATGAGCTGTCGCAGAGTTCCTAACAATGCAAATCTCCTCTTGACAAGTATCTCTTGAAAATCTACCCAAAGATTCACTCTTAAATTATATGTATTTTATTATCGTTTGAGAATTTTTTCTCGTGAAAAGAGAAGTTTATTTCTCTTTAATAAAAGTTCCAATGGTATGAGTCAGAGACCGAAACGGGGCGGGGAATCAAGGCAGGGCCCCGGGGCGGGGAGCTTTTTTATTGGACGGGGCGGGGGCGGGGAGCGAATTTGAGAAGAAAAGCGAGGCGAGGCGGGGACGGGGAAGCCAAACGAAAATTAGTCGGGGCGGGACGGGGACGGGGCGACCGGAAATATTTTAAGTCGGGGCGAGGCTGGGCGGGGCCTGGAAGAATGATGTAGAGTTCCGTAAAACTTTCTTATTTTTCGATTTTACACCGGAAATTCATATGTGCGAAAACGAAAAGTCGGGGTGGGGCGGGGACGGGGAAGCAAAATAAAATGAAGAACGGGGCGGGGCGGGGTCGAGGAAGCAAAAAAAATATAGAGCGGGACGAGGCGGGGACGGGGAAGAAAAAAAAATAACGAGCGGGGCGAGGCGAGGTCGGGGAGAGAAAGTTTCCGACGGGGCGGGGCGGGGAGTAAAAAATCCGCCCCGTTTCGGTCTCTGGTATGAGTAGTTTTATTAACATTTACGAATTGAACAATGATGCTATGTAGAAAAATATAAGTAAAAAGATAGTAATATTGAGAAAATACTGTGGTTTTTGTGGAAGAACATTTTGAATGAATCTGACAGGCAAATGCATCACTTACAGTATTATGATTAAGAGAGAAACGACGTTCAGGGACCAGTATATCTTCAGATGTGAAAAAGAACGCTCAAGTTCAATTGAATTAGCGAAAATTGAAAAAAAAAGACGACAAGCAAATAATGATAAACATAAAAACTTGTGTTAGTGATCTCTGTAGAATGGTAATAGTTGTGAGTGTTCAGAATTATATTCAGTATTTATTCTGAAATATTTATCTAATTTATCATATTTATAGGTTACTGTTGAGAATCAACTCAGTTACATCTATGTAATTACTA